GGGGCCGTGGGGACACCTAGCCTGAAGCTCACTTTAAGGGAGGAAGAAGGTGAGTCGGGGAGTCGGGGAGCCGTGCAGCCTAGGCCCCAGGAGCTCAGGCCTCCCTGCAGCCACCGTTCCCGAACGGCAGGGTTCCAGAACGTACCACCTCCCTGTTAAGTGGAGGGAGGGGACTATCAGGCCAGGGCAGACGGTCCTGGAGTTCAAGGTGAATTTAATTGCAAAGGGCAACGTTTTGGAGAAGTGTGGATGCCGGGAGATGGAGCTCCAGAACGAACCCCCTCCGCCTCAGGTCCGGGCTGTGACAGCAGGGGTGGGTAGGGGCTGCAGTGAAGGCCTCCTCTGGACAGACACACGTGACACCGCTGGGCAGCAGCTATCCACCCGCTCTCCTCCCTGACTACCTCACAGCACCGTCCAGGCACGTCCTTCAGCCTGGCCACCAGGGAGGTGGGGACAAAGCTCCCCTCAAGCATGCAGAAGCAAGAGAAACAGGGCACGGAACAGCCACCATGTGTCCCACTCCCATCTCCTGCAAATCCACCCCTGGTACCCAGACTAGTCCTTGTGGAAGGGACGGAGTCACTGACTTCCCAAGCGGCCCCTCCTGGGGTGTCTGTGCTGGGCCAGGACAGCCCTCTGTCCTCCCACAGCCCCCGGCCCCTGGCCCCCTGCACCCAGCCGGCCCCGTCCTGGCGGCATTCACACAGCTGTCTGCCAAGCCCCTACTCCGACCCTGCAGGGACCCACAGAATGATGGGGTGTGGCTGGGCAGGTCTCTAAGCCTGAGAGACGGAAGCAGCCCAACCTTCGTTCACAGAGGGTGGAAGCCAGCAAGGCCACTCTTAATCCCGCAAAACGTTGTGGGGTGCCATTCTGTACTCCCCTGGGAGGCCTGGAGCTACCTGCCAGCAAGCAGCTGGGGAGCAAGCAGCTCAGGGAGCACCTACTCGGTGTGGACGGGACACCGCTGAGCACCAAGGGCCCGCATGCGCACAAGGAGCCAGAGACAGGGCCCGAGAGGTGGAGTCGGAGCCCGGCACAGGCTTCCTGGGTGTTCTCGGCAGAGCGGGAAGGGAAGAAGGTGGGGGAGTCTGAGTCCATGCCGAGGAGCTCTGCACAAGACATTGGGCGACAGACACGATCACAGTCCTGCTCTGGGACATTCCCGGGGTGCTGGTGCTGAATAATGGGGTGCAGGGCGGGACCAGAGGAATGGAGCACTGAGGAGGTGCTGGCAGCCCAGGTAGGAGGGGAGAGCAGGACCAGGGCTGAGTGACCCCAGAGCTCGTTCCGGACGCCCGGAGCCGGAGTGTCCCTGCTTGGGACGCCGGCCCAGGCTTTGAAAATCTGATGAGGAAGCCACCCAAGGCACCCCATGCCTGTCCCCACTCTGATGTGGGCCTCTCACTGCAGCCTCACACTCCGGGGGAGAGCAGCAACCCAAGACATTCATGGACACACGTGACCAGTCACCGGGGCTTCCTGGTTCTTCAAAAAGCCTAACCAGTTTGTTTGACCACACCCTCCCGTGCCTGAGGTACACGGCGGGGTGGGGGACGTGGGGGGTAGGCAGAGGCTGCTGTGTGTCCAACAGCCGCGAATGCAAGCCTGTGGGTGGCTACCCCCTGGGGCTCTTCACCCACCGTGGGTCCAGAAAAGACACCTGCGGTCTTCGAGGGATTTCAGGGCAGAATACTCTTTCCAACTGCCGCAAATGTAACAGGCCATGGAACCAGGAGGTACAAAGGCAGCCTCACGGGTTGGAGACCTGGATGTGCAGCCCCCTGGGCCCCTTGGCCTCAGTCTGCTCATCTGAAAGCAGGACTTACCAGGGAGCCACCCGGGACAGGGGCCCGGAGAGCTGGGTGAAGGGCAGGGGACCCAGAGCAAAGACGCAGGACCCGAGATCGGGGGTCCCAGCCTGGCAGTGTTATCGCTGAGCCCCGGACTCTGCAGGGCTTAAACCTGGCTCTCGGGAGGTCACGAGGTCACCGGCCCGTCGGCCCAGAATCAACTCAGAGAGATTTTAGAGGCGGAAGGGAAGGGAGAGAAGTGCTCCTTCTGGGAGCAGAAAGTAAGATGTGCCCGACCTGAGGCCAGGCTGAGTGTGGCCCCCTGCCTGTCTGGGGCCCTCTTTCTGTGAGTCAGACCAGGGAAACTCTCTGCTCACATCTGAGAAAGTCAGAAGTGGAGGGATGCAGTGACTTCCCCCTCCTGCTCTAGCCCAGTCTCTGGGGGGATGGAGGGGGTCACGGACATGGCACAGCCCACTAGACCTGGCCGACGAGGGGCTCAGGGAGGAGTGCAGGCTCAGCTGGGCCTGTCTGCCCTCCCAGGCCTGGTGGCCCAGGAGCCCTGTCGCCTGCAGTCCGGTCACAAACTCTCCTGCATGAAGCGCCCCTCCCCCCCACTCCCGTCCCCGCGCGCCCCCGAGCCAGTCAGGGCCACTTGACCACACAAGGGTTCACTGGTCAGTATGAGAAGGGGTGGCCAGCGGCCTGGCAAACGTTCTCAGGGGCCACCCCCTGTAACTTCCCTGTCTCCGGAGAGCCAAACCAAGAGAAAGAGGAAGTGTGGGGTGGCCGGAGGGCGCCGCCCCCGGGGAAGTGCCCGGAGACGCGCTGTGGGCAGGGATGCGGGGAGGCAGCAGGGGGCACATCCCCTAATGCAAGCGGGATCAGGACAGGCCTGGAAGATAAGGGCACTCAAGGGCAGCAGGGGCTGAGGCCGCTTCCAGCGTCCGCAGCACCCCGGGGCTGGTCTCCCAGTGACCCAGATGACCCGGGTCCGCGCGCGCTCCCCTCTC